AGAGAGGAGCTCAGTGCACCAAGAGGACCTCAGTGCACCAATCGAAGGCCTTCTCGGCGTCAAGTGATATAACCACCTCCGGATCTGTAGGAGAGGATGGAGTATGAATGACGCCGAGAAGTCTTCTGACATTTTAGCTTGTCCAAGCGACAAGCTAAAATTTTCGCAAGTATTTTCACATCTACAGGTAGGAGGGAAATCAGCCTGTACGATGCGCAGTTTAGAGGGTCTTTGTCTTTTTTATGAATGAGGGAACTGGAGGCTTATACTACGGTGGGTGGTAGAGAGCCATGACTGTATGAATAGTTAAACATCTCCAGAAGTAGAGGGGCCAGCTGGTTAGAAAATCGATTATAAAACTCAACGGGGTACCCGTCAGGGCCCGGTGATTTGCCACTATTCATTGAGCTTATTGCTTCTTTTATCTCAGGAAGTGTTAAAGGAGCGTCCAGTGTCTGATTGTCATTGGGTGAAACTCTAGTTTTTGAAAAAAGGCGTCCATTTGGGTGTTATCGCCGGGGGATTCAGATTTATACAATTGATGGTAAAATAAATTGAATGAGGTATTCATATAATTGGGTCGGTCATTACCGTGCCTGACTCATCTCTAATCTGGATAATTTGGTTGGATGCTTGTCTGGCTTTTAGTGGTGAGCGAGGAGACGCCCAGCCTTATCACCATGTTCATATAGCGATCCATAGTAACGGAGAAGTAGTCGTTCAGCTTCTGTTGAAAGGAATAAGTCAAGTTCTGTCTTAAGTCTAAGTCTCTCTTTATACAAGTCCGGAATATTTGTTACTGTATAAAGTTAACAATTTTATTCTATTGTTGTATTTTATTCTATTGTATTTTATTGTATTTTATTGTACCTGGCTGCTATGACGACCCTTTCCCTTCCAGGGATTAATAAAGTCCTATTACATCTATCATTAACTCTATCTATTCGTACGTTCTAATCTATCATCTATCTACCACGATCTATCTACTCTATCCGCACATAACTTCACCTTCTTCCCCAGAGTTTCTGTGCTTTCTCGTCTCACAGGTTCATGGA